CCGATGTGCCGTCGAGCACAATTCATCGTGTCATCGTGTAACGGCTCGAAAAACGGCGGAGAAACCAGTCGGGCTAATCGGTGAAGGACGATACGCGTCTCTCTCTCTCTCTCTCTCTATATGTATGTGCGTGCGTGTGTGTGTGTGTCGTGCGTTCGTTTAGCGATAGAGAGAAATGACTGTTCCTTCCGATCTTGTATTATGACGAATTAGCCACGTGATAGAGAAGAGGAACGGGATATAAAAGATAAAAAAAAAAAGGATAGGTACGACAGGCTGAAAGAAAGCTGGTGCCGTATTCAGGCGTCACTACGATCCAACAGTCCCGGTAAAACACCTTTTCAGTCAGCGCGCATTCGTTTACGTTCGGTTCCGTCGCGATGCAACTTTAATACAGTTCAACCCGAAACTTACTCTAGTCGCGATCTAAATTATCTTATTACAGCTCCGCTATACGCTAATCCCGACTATACGCTGTGCGACGTATTCTCACTAAATAATCTTTCCGCAGTTGTCGTTTTTCCGCCCTGTACGTTTGCATTTCGAATGTATCACGGACGGTAATTCATCAACGGAAATAACACCAATTTAATCTCATTGAGAGTCAACTTCATTTCTACCATAAACCGGTTCAATGGCAACTCGATCTCCATTCGAACGACCGTCGCGTTAATACTTCCTATTTCAACGTAGCACCGGCCCGGTTTTACACCGATTATAGTCTCGCGTCCTAAAGAATCTCGTCGTACGTTGTGATGTCGATGCAACACCAACGATTCTACTTATCGTACCACTCTAGATTCGGTATCGATTCGCTCGTATTCTCGATACCGACTCGCGAAAATTGCACAGATTTGTGAGAAGTTTACTTGACAGAGCACGTGATTCGAAACAATTTTTTATCTTTCAAGAAGAGTAAATCTCTCATTACTGAGCTAAACCGAGCGATCAAGCTTTATTAGGCCCATCGACGTTCATATGGGAATCTCATCATTCTTTTATTCGCTGTAGCATGGTGTTTGCAGCGAAACGCAGCTTTGGTCGTGTCACGGGCATCGTGTAACGTAAGTTGTAGGTTCGCACCAAATTCTTACTTCGTCGGTATTTTATTAAAATATAACATTCACAACGTATACCGACGAGTACATCTCGGCCCCTATTATTTACGATTTTTGCAAAAGAGGAGAAAAATTGGAGACAGAGTGGGGGGAGGGAGAGGGAGGGAGAGAGAACGCATATAAACCACCGAACCACATGAAAAGACATTTGTCGAGCCTTCCCTCGACACCTTCAAAATTCTCCCCGGACGCTTCATTCCCGGACGTGTTATCATCCCCGCACGATTCGACGGTGTTTCCTCCGCTAGCAACCGAAACAAAAATTGCAGCACAAATATTCGAAAAATGCGGCCGGTGGAAGACATCCCGAAAGCGCTACAGAGCGCGAAATAGACGAGAAGGAGAAATGTAAAACGGCCGAATATTACACATGTGAAAAGTACCGCGTGAAATATCAGTTCAAGAATGTGAACTCTTTTCTCCATCGAGTACATCGGAAAAAACGAAGACAGTAGTGACGGAATAACGATAAGAGCGAAAATGATAATGATAAAAAAAAAAAAATAATAATAATATCAATAATAATAATATTAATAACAATATTAACAGCAAAATTCTATTACTACTAATTAAAATTTATGATTGTAATTGCGCGATACGTATAATGTGAATATAATATAAGAATTCAACGTAGTAACAAAGTGGTAAGGTACTTTATGTAAAATTCGTTAGGTATCGTAAAGAACATAAGTCTATATATAGCCCGCAAAAGCGTTTAACGTGGAATGAATATATTAGAGTAAAATATTTGTGTGTGTGTGTTTATGTATGTGCGTGCGTGCGTGCGTGCGCGCATGTATTAAATCATTGCATATCTCGTCCTTCCAGATTCAAGCGACGACAAACAATTACTCTATAAGAATATCTATCTCGTCGACCGAGAATAATTTGCCTATCTTTTGCTTTCGCTTCTCGCGACATTTTCGTCACCTGCTGAAATCATTAGAACACCGTGTTGTAAATCGGGCAATATTTAATGTCGAAAAGATTTAGCCTATTCCGGGGCTCGCTTGCAGTCTTATCGAAACTTATTTTTGGACGTCTTTACCTATAATTAGCTGGACGATTGTGTCTTGGACACTGAAAGAAGCCTTCTCCGTAGTATCTTCGCTATCGCTCCGCGATCTAACTAATAAAGCCTAAATTAATTCACGTTTCATAGCCAATGGAGCGCTCGTGACACGGTCTCGGCAACGACTTTATCATAGTGTTTCGCCCCGTACAGAACGAGGCAATGTCGATGCCTCAACTAAAATATCCACGCCTACGTCCACGTTTGAGTCGCAAATTCGGCCGTTCTTCAGATTAAAACAGCTGTAATGACAATCGACTCGGATTTCCATCGTCGTAGACACATCGAAATGGACTCTGTGTTTATTCGTGAGAGAAATCACAAGGATCGATGAGAGGCACGTTTTCCTGTGTCTGCAACATCTTGGGTTCGGAGTGAACGATATTACTCGGCGATGTCAATCCCCGAAACGATATGGAAACTATTCATTCGGGCATACCCAGCTTTTATTGTGTTCTCAGCGTTCCGGACCGACTGATCCGTTCGTACGTTTCTGCGATACGTAGATATTAATCGGGAAAGAAAGAAAAAAGGGTAAAGAAAAACGAGGGGGAAAAAAAAAAGAGAGAAAAAAGAACGAAACGAGACATATTCTAGATATGTACACGTAAGTACGAGTAATTTATAACGTTAGTATTACGCTTCTATTTTGATTCATTGGCACCGGGTCCCGTAAACCATAACGCCAATACGTAAATCTTGTTTAGAAAAGCGCGAGCGATCGCTTCCGCGAGAGAACGAACGATTCACCGACACTTTTTTCAAGGATAACGCGTAAACGCGCAGGGGGGGAAAAAAAGAAAGGGATCGACTTAAAAATCAACTCGGAAAAACCGATTGCTAATTTACAAATCATCCGATTGCACTCCCTTCAGTCTCATTTTTTTCTCGTCGCACTTCGTCGACCGATCGAATCGTCAAACCTTCTCGGAAGCTTGGGAGCGCGATGTCAACGGATACCACCGTCGTAACGATCACCGCGAAACATCACACGTACATATATGTGTGTATATGTAAAAAAATAGAAATATATAAAATAATCGCGCGATCCCAGAAAATTGCAGCAATTTCCACGGCAGTCCGCGTGGTAGCGCGACAGGATGACACATCTACCACGTGCGTTCGTATTTGGAAGCACTGATTTCTCGGAGCGGCGCGTTTTCGCCTTTACGAAAACCGTTGGCCAAACCAGCAGACGTACGAGGGAGATTCGAGTACGCACGTCGCAACGTGGCGACATCGACGCAACCTCCGTCGCCATATTTCCGGAGAATAACAGAATTGCACTCGATAATCGCATCTTCCTCGATCTGTCGCGAGTGGCTAAAAGAATCCACAGACTCGGAGTCTTGTATACTCTGACTGGTCCCAAATGGTCGAACCTATTACAACCAATGTACAATCGATAAGCGACGAATAACGTAACGTAACGTAACAATCGCGTCTCGTGCGTTGGCACTCTTTCTCACCGTTCGTTATCGTATCGCTGAAAAATTCACCTCGCGTCAGCTCTTTGTGATAAGTCGCTGAAAGAGCGCCGCGAGTTCTCTCTCTCTCTCTCTCGCTCTCTGTCGACGTAATCAACGATCGTAGCCGATAATCGGCGAAAAGAAACGCGTTGTCGAACAACGATGAGTCTCGACGCTGTATTGAATGAGCGAGTCAGACGAAATCAGACAACTCGACGCTGAATGTACGTTGAAGAGATGATCCATTATGGAGCGACGCGACGAGGGGGATCGCATCGGCTAGACAAAACGGACTACGAGAGTTTGAGAAGAGAACGTCGCGATTCTCCGTGGTGAGGAGCGAGGGTGGCCGCGCTAGGCGCAACTCTCTCTCCCTGTCTCTCTCTCTCTCTCTCTCTCTATTAAGGTCTCTATTAAGCTCGTTTCGTGGTGTCCCTTGGCACGTAAGACACGCAAGACACGCGAGACACGCGCATCCGCGATCACTTCTATTTCTGTCTACGGTGATAGATGCTCTTGTGATTGTTGAGGCTGTTGAGCGTTCGGAACACCTTGTGGCACAGCGCGCAGACGGCACTGTTCAGGGGTTGAAAGTGTTGCTGCTCTTTGTGCCGTTTCAGAGTGAGTTTCGTGGAAAGGGTCTTGCCGCACACGTCGCACGTGTAACAGACTCCTGGCGGCAACAAGCTGCCGTGTAACGGATGAGACAGTCGCATCGCGAGGATCGCCGACGGTGGACCTGTCATCCACGCGATCGATGGACGTTTTTATTCGTTCGAGTGCAACAACACATTGTCGAAGATGCGATAGGAAGAAGGTGAAAACGATAGCGATATGTTGCGGCGAATATTAGCAAAGCAACGAGCGAGTGAGCGAGCGGAGGAGAAGTTGCGCGCGTAAACGAATATACAGAGACGGGCGGGTAAGACGATTAATTATACGACGAAGAAGGCATCACGAGTGTACAAATGAAGATGTGAAAATAGTTGTATATTGAGCGCGTTACACACGCGAATATGTAAGAAATTACGCAAGCATATAAGTAAAGTAGAAACGTAAATAGAATGCGTGTACGAGCGAGAGCAAAAAGGAGAAAACAACAAGTATATAAAAGGGTAAAGACAGAAGAGAGAGAGAGAGAGAGAGAGAGAGAGAAAAGAAAGATAGATAGAGAGAGATAGATAGAGAGAGAGATAGATAGATAGATAGATAGAGAGAGAGAGAATAGAAACAGAGAGATAAAACCAACAGAGAGAATAGAAACAGAGAGATAAACCAAGTACCATAGTCCGTTGCATATGCATCGACACCCAATTAAAAAGAAATATTTCCATTACGAACCAATATTTGTGGTGTAGGAGGCACACGGCGGAGAGCCACGTGTGTGGATGGACCCCCAGCGCAAGTCCGTGTTCGTGAAGGTAGCGGGTAGGTACACACAGAACAATGACGAACCAGAGCCAAACGTATAGCCGAGCGAGCGGGACCGGGAACAAACAAGAACAAAGATACGACTGCTATTAATATCACTGGACAAGATTAGTTACGATACGCTGCTAAGTATTCTTGCATGATTAGGGCTAGAGATGGGGTGATACGTAGGTGGTAGGTCGGTGGGCTCGAAACGCGGGCTTCTCGCTGACGGTCGGCTCAGGGTGATCGGTCATTTGGTTGAGGAAAGTGGTGAATATGAAAATTGGTTGAGGGTCAAGAGGAACGATCGAGAGCAAACCGGCAGTGGTATCAAAGGTGTTGCTACCGAACATCAGTCGATACTCTTAGCGACAGTCAAATACCTACGAGCCACGCGTATGCTCGATTACTTCCTTTGCTTTCCGCTGCGCTCACAGTCGCAGATATATTAAAGTGGCTCGGAGCTCTGGTTTGTCATTGGTCATGCATAATAACGCGATGATCGTAGATCATAAGGTCGTTTATATCCAAATCGATTTTCCCTGATTTTTTTTTTCTCAAGTCGCGAACAATCTCCGTTGCATTTGTGCACTTGTATGCGCGCGCACCTTACTTCGCGATAGATGTGTACTTTACTTGTTTCGTTCTTACTCTTGCGAGTGAATTTTTATATGTCTCATCTTTAGCGAGCCGTGCCAAATGCAACGAGGATATCCAGTTTTCGTGGTAACGAAAAGACCGATAGCGAGAACCCAAGCTTAATGAGGGCAAACATTGACTGAATTATTATTCTTTCTTGCTACTTTTTCCTGTTTTTTTTTTCTCTTTTTATACTCTCTATCCACTTTCTTTTCCCCGTCGAGGGGAAAAATGTTCGAAAATATGCGAAAAAACCAGACGGTATATTAAAAGTATATATATATACTTTTCTTTTTTATACATAGCGTTTGCGCGCGCGCATGTGTGTGCGTGTTTGATATTGATCTTGTAATTTTGGCAAATCGCGATCAGATGTTACGATTGAAAGGAATCGTTGAGATGTGAAAGATTACATTTGACGAGTGTAACTTACGGGTTACTTGGGCCACGTGTACGGACACTGAGTGAAAAAGGAACGACGCTCGATGAGAAGCAAAAAGATTCCATGCGAACTCTCGATAAACGACGAAATGTTCGCACATACCTTTCACCGAGAGAGCTGTAAAAGTAAACGCGTAACGCGCTTTCTCCCGGTATATGACTTTCGACGGAGCAAAAGAGGGAGTAATGTCCGTGACATTATCAACAGTACAGGCAATGTGTGCGTGATAACAATAACTAATATAAATAAATAAAGTAACAATAATAGTCACAACAGGTGATAGTAGTAGAGGCAATAGTAGCAGGAGCGACAATAGCAACAGCAACAATAATATGAAAACTTGCCGATAGAGAAATGTTAATGGCGATAACAACTACTACAACACATCGATAGTATAGAAAAATAATGAATAATGGTACATTAAAGAGACAAAAATATTTCACTTCCATAGACATTTTTCCAGGAGAAAGAACGAATAAATGCGAAATGAGAATATGCCTCTCCTGAAAATGCGACGGATAAGCGAAAGTAAACACACGCGCGTGTGTCCTCGTGTCCGTAGATGTACGGTATTTTCAAATTATAATCTTTCAGTATATTTCTCCTTACTCGCGAATAACCCTGGTATTGGCATAAAAAAGGAAAAAAACGAAGACATCGCTTCGAAGATTTAATATAAAAGTACGGAAACATCGTGCGCGCGCACGCGTATGTGTGTGTGTGTACATGCACAAAACGAAGCGTTGTAATTTGACATAATTGACACTAATGTCGAACGGCAATATCTGTGCGTTGGAGAGCTTCTTTTCCTGCGTATAGATATTGGAATAATAAATTTTCAGTAAGTAAAACTCGCCCGATGACTCGAGCGCGAAAATAATTTCAACCGCAGGAATCCATTCGTTTCGTCGCGTTTCCCGTTTCGACGAAAATTCGCGAAGCGGACGAACCAACGAAAGAAAATAATAATATGCGAGTGGCGATGCCGCGGACGTCGCTGTGAATCGGTAGAATAGATGACGATAAATCGCATGTGTCATAAGGAGATGCGATGTAAAATCTCTGCGAAAGCGAACTTGGTGCTCGATCGCAGCGGGCGGATATCCCGTAACGTGGATTTGTACAAAAGAGAAGGGCAGAATGAGCAAAATGAGTAGAAGGAAGAGGGAGGATTCGGAGAATAAAGGAGGAGGATAATACATTACCCGACTCTAAAACTGCCTCGTTTAAAGGAATATAAGAGCGTGTGTTGTACGAATAAATTAGATACGTTAAATAATATTTTATTATCCCGTTTTGTACCGCACCTTTTCACGTATCGTCGCACAGGACGATAAACAAAAAAAAACTTGCCTCCTATTATTGTACTCGCCTCACACATAAATAATATATAAAAATAATAACAAACAGTGTGTGTGTATGTGTGTGTGTGTGTGTGAGTGTGTGTGACAAAAAGTCGAAGGATCACGCCTGTCGCGTAAATAATCGCTCAGATTCCGATAGGCGAACCGGAGAGGGTTCGAATTATATATATCGTTCAGCTCGTTTCACAGAGCGCTAATATTTACAAGACGATGCAACGATCATTCCCGGCCATTCTCGTAGAAAATATCGACGCGACCTCGCACTGTCGTTTGAATTGATAGATTCGATGCAACGCTCTCTCCTGCACGCCGCTGCCTTGCCGATCACTGCCATCTCGAGACTCTCCGAGAGACGTTTCTCATTTAGCCCGCGTCTCTCATCGATCGCCATTCGACGAGACGCAACGGTATCGACGGCTATTTTGCGTCGCGCGTGAGCACACAGGGAAGAACGATGGCGGGATAACTATTCGGCACGCATCGATTAAATCCGCTCCGTCGACGCGCCATCGACGATCGAGATTCGACTCGTTCGCGAACGCCTCCACCACATCCTCGCCTCCCTCGCCTTACGCACGTGAAAAAACCACGGTTCCGCTTCCTCTCGCCCTCCCCTCCCCCCTCTCCCTCCCCGCCCTCGAATCTCATTCGTCGAAAGCCCTAGATCCGCTGTCCAGTGAGAAATTCGCATTTCGATCGCCAGCGATCGCGAGAAGGAGGATCGCGCTGGATCTTGATCGGTCCGTGTCGCGCAAACACCCGGTATACCCACGACACCGAGAAATTCACGCGAGACGGAGAGAGAGAAAGAACAAGGGGGACAGAAGGTGAGAGATCTCATCCCATTCGCGGGTGTTGTTGGGTCTGATGCTGTTGTTGTTGCTGCTGCTGCTGCTGCCGTTGCTGCGACGAGTAATTTCTCTCGGCATGTTCTCGCTGGTCTCTTTGCCGTTCGCGGATCTGCGCTACTTCCTTTCTTTGCTGCTCGCTTTTGTTGTGTTGCCGATGGTAGATGCTCTTGTGGTTGCGTAGACTGTTTAGACTGGAGTAAACCCGCTTGCAGATGTTACAGATCGGTTCCTTGCTGGGCCTGGTGTGCACGTTCTGTATGTGCCGCTTCAACCGCGTTAGGGAGGTCAGGTTTTTGTTGCACGGCTCACATCGAAACTCATCGCTCGCGCCGCTGCCGGCCAACAGACCTGGCGGCAGAACCAGACACACAGGGGTTACTACTCTTGTGGACTTTTGGCGCTTGGAACGTCGCACAGACGTCGGACAGGCGGACGGGTAGAAATTAGACCAGGAGAGGGGAATGAGATAGAGATATAGATAGATAGATAGACAGAGAGAGAGAGAGAGGACTTTATCCCCAATGTGCTTTTCTACTTTATCCTTCGCTTGCTTCGCCTCTCTAATTCAGGACATTGTGCCTGCCGCACACCACCAATCCGTATTCCTACACCAGCGTCGCGATTAAATCACACCACCAGAGTTTCCGCAGCTGAGAAAGTATAGTGCGCCCGTGTGCTCTCCCCCACACACACATACACACACACATACTCACACATACACACACGCACGCACACACTTTCGCTTCTACTCGCCTCTTAGTATTTTAATTTGCGCTTTATATTAATCGAGCATTCGTCGTATCACCGTCACCCGACCACAAGCCGTGCCCAAATTTGTTTACGTGTTATTTCGCATAACCATCTAACAAGATTATGTATGCTTATGGATGTGTGCTGTACTGCTGCACCTCGTTGTACGACACTACGACTGTTATCGGTGAGACGCAATTTGTACAATGCCCCTCCCCCCCTTCCTTCGCCAACACGTTCATCGGACGCAACCATTGTCAACGTATCTCTCGTTTGATTCTTTTCTTGCCTTTGTTTCTCCAATGTCATTTAAAGCGTGACAGTCTCTCCGTAAAATTCGCTATGCCGTCGCAACACGTCACCACGATCGTTAATCTTTTATCATAATCACAATGCTCCGAATCAAAGTTATGGTCAATCTTATGTCGTCGATGTCAATGTCAGCGTTATCGTTGTCAATGCCTCGTTTGCCTTTATCCTCGTGCCACTTAGTCGTGTCACTCGTTATTGCAATTGTTAACGTCACCGTCGCGCTTAATCTCTTCCACATTTATCCTGATTTTATCGTCTCGTTTCGTCTTACTTCCCAACACGTCGTCCATGTTATCATTCCGTACATATTTCGATTCGTCCATTGTTGTTGCGATCGAAATGCATTTTAGCTTCAACTTTGTCCGTTAATGCTAATCTGGTCGCGCGCGGTTCACAAAATATATCGTCGTCATTTGTAATGATTTCTAAATTTATACGACAAAAGCTTCATAAATCACCCGTTGCAGTGAATGTCGTCACCGTCCTTGTCTTCGTCGTCAATACTCTTCTTCGTTACGCCGATTATCGTCGATGCTTTTTTGTTATTTCATGTAAGGGTTTTTTTCTCTCGCGAATTAACTCGATCAAACCGAACGTTTCTATAAATTTTATCGAAAAAAATTCTCCACATTCCTCACTGAAGCATTAGCGCGTTTTCACATATCATTGTTACCGTTAAGTAATGCATATTAATAAATGGTAAACAAGTTGCACTTCGTCTACGTGAAAACGATACGGCGCGCACAAAAACGCTGAAATATCAATTATATTAATTAATGTAAAATTTCTATGTCGACGATTTTATACAGCGTAAATATTGAAAAATTTCCGCGGGAGTCTGTCAGAGAGGGAAAACAATACGAAGTCGAGATATCGAACATCAGCGTATATATTTACATTCATCTCTCGCGCGCTAATGTTACTCTAATAATTTGAGCAAATTGTACCGAGAAAATATATTGTAAATTATATTTTGCCGTAATAAAAATATGGAATGGCTTAACTGAGATCTCGGAGAAACACGATATCGACCGGATACGATGACAATGGTGATAAATCGCGAGGGAAATTTGTCTCGGACAGCCTCTGTAACTATGAAATTTGCGCGAATTTCTCCCGAACCAGTCCCGCCACGTTTACCTTTTTCTCGGGGGTAATTAGAGTAACATGATGCAAGCAGTTTCAAAATTCCAGCAAACGATCGTGAGCGATGAAGTTAGTGTTTTATGATCACCAGATATATCCATAACGCGATGCGTATTATTTACAGCAAATAGAGCGAAGTATCTTGTGCGCGCGCGTATGTGTGTTTACGTGGTATGCACATATGTACATGTACGCGTATGGATATGCGCGAGAGTGTACGAGAGATATGTGTTTGTGTTCCGAGTGTGTACGCAAATGCGATATCTGTTTCTAATGAGGTGATGTGATGAAGCGTAATGTTTCTATATTTCATGATTAATGACATTTTCGTAGCCTTGATCGAAGGAGCTACCAACAGAGGTTCTTTCTTCTCGCGCGATATTTAGGCCGTGAGATAGCGCTCGCTCGTTAGAAACAACTTTTCTCCCTCAAGTGTGTCCTTTTTATTCTGCTTCGCCCATCCTTCGAAAACTATCTTCAACTTGTACGTCGCGTTGTAACAGTAGATACACTCGAGTTTCCTTAAATATAATTACGACCTCACGAGAACAATACGACGATCGTCTATGTCGAAACGCGCGCTCGCGCGATAGTAGCTATGTATACTATTGCACAATGTTCCATAATTGTTTCGCACGTATCGAGTATATAACGAGTCGTATATAACGTTGAAATGTCACAGGGTACAACGTGAACGTTCGATTAATAACTAACAGTGTCTATTAAACGGCAACCTGCAGCTTTAACGCGATCCGCGATTTTATTTCCGTGATATATAGTGAACAACTTTTCGAGGTATCAACGAAATAATCCAAACTCTCTCTCTCTCTCTCTCTCTCTCCGACTCTAATCGTGTTGAACGATTCACAAATAACGGAATCCGAACGAAGTCGCGTCGCGATAAATGTTGACTAGTAATACTATCGTGTATAGCGAATCCATGGAGATAAAAAGAAGGGCCAAACGGAATAAGTGCTAAATTGGATGTTGAGAAAGACTCGTTTGATTTTTCTCGAATTTTATTGAATCCTCTCGGCCGTCGTTAATTACAGTTACGATACGATGCGAGGCACCGCGAATAAACATGGGGAACCGTGGGTCTCTCAAATTCGGATCCCAGATGATCACGTGCCGACTAAGCGCGCGACGCTGTCTTCGAGTTTACAACGCTATTCCCAGAGCGGCGGGATACTCGATAGGTAACAACTGTTAGCACAGACGATTTCTTTGGTCCGAACCGAAGTGATTCGCCAGAGGAACAAACGACTAGCAAAGATTCCGCCCCAATACTGTCGAGATGTAACTGCAGTATACGATATAGACCCGATTACAGAGCGGTATAGAGTCTTCCGCGTATTACAATTCTAAACCTTGCGGACGTCCTTCTTCCGCGGTATGCAAAATGCACGCAAACGGTCACCGGCGCGAGCGCCGTTCAATCAATACGTGACTTCGCACTGAGCCTCGTGCTCCTTGCGCTCCTTTCTAGCGTGATATTGGCTCTTGTGGCTGACCAAACTGTTTCTCGACTTGTAACTCCTGCCGCACTGATCGCAGGACAACGACTGCGGCACGTAGAAGTGCGTGTCGGCCAAGTGCCTCTGTAAGGACCAAGCGCGTGAGAAGGTCTTTTGGCAAAATCTGCAGTAAGTGCGATTCAAGTATTTATGATCCTGCTCGTTGCTCGTGCGCAAGGGGTCCTGATGTTTCGAGGAAGCGTTTCGCGGTCGCAGCCATCGCGGCTCCGCGAAAGACGCGGCGTCGTTACTCGAGGATCTTCCGGGCGTTTGCTGCTGCTGCTGCTGCCGATGGCCATCGTGTCGACTCTCGCATGTCGAATCGAGATCCGTGTGCTCGTCGATCGTATGACTCGACAGGAGGCAAGACTCGAACTCGTCCATTCTCGGTGAGGTAGGCTCAGATTTCAACATGATCTCCATCTGATCGTTAATGTTGTCTAATAGATCAATTATCGGCAACTCCTGGTGCTGCGGTTGCACCGTCTCACCGCACTGATTTACGCTTGTACTTTGGTTCGATGGCTGTATTTGTCGTTGGTACTCGATGTTGGTAGCGGACTGCCAACCCCCGTCCTCCTCGGTGACCTCCTGGTCTGCAACCAAAGAGGAGGGGGCTGAGTCCAACCGTATTCACGCGACATCATTCGGTACCGTAACGAGTAACTTTTACGCACGAAAATATTTATCGATATTTATTCTCTCTCTCTCTCTCTCTTTTACACATACGCATCTCTCACACACGCACACACATTTCGAAACGGGCCACTTTTAATCATACAGGCAACATATATGGCGGCGGTTGCATTCCTATCTTGCCAGAATCAAGTACGGATAGGAGCGACGGTTCGTCGCAGGATCGCAAGACGCAGATACGAAAATCGATAAACCTGAGCAAAGATGGAAGAGGTTCGATCCTTCTTTCGCGAAAACTTGANCCCCCCCCCCCCCATCAATGTATTATAATATGCGTAACGTGATATTATATTATATACGCGCGATACGTGTATATAAGATTCTAAACGATGATAAAGTCACAGGCGAAAGGAGATATTCGGAGGAATGGCCGGTCCGATCCAACGGTGACACGCAACATAATATTACCCCCGTGAAATTGTTTCGCGTTCTTCACCATCCGTGAGAGAAATTTTGCCTTCGCTTACGCAGGTTCTGTAATTTTCTTAAATCCGGCTCGCTGCGGACCGATGAAAAGATTCGAGTCAAATGTTTCTATGCCGATGACTGGCTCGAGAGTTTCCACCGTCGAGCGGTAAGTCTATCGGCATGCTTGGTATGCGTGAGTGAAAAAGCAATGCCCGTTGGACGCCAAGGATTGTCAACGGAAATACGGCAGAATCCGCGATGCTTCTTTACGAGATTTTACCCAGCCGGTTACCCGTGGCAACGCTACCCCACGTCGACTTTCCCGCTCTCCACCCTCCTCGCCATTCCTCCTGGCATTTGGCGCCCCTCACGATCCTCTCTTGCCGCGCGCACGCTTCTCGGATACCCGTGTCTCCCCCCCTCCCCTCCCCGCCGGCCAGCCCGTAAACCTTCCCCTCGCGATACACCTACAAGGAGATATATATACGTAGGATGTGTATTATTCTTAATAACCCCTGTATGCTGTTACGCTATATTATGACTGATGTTGACTCGCAGCGCGCGCGGGAAGAGCCGTTACGATCGATAGGTCGCTCCGCTCCTGGTAAAACAAATCCAGGACGCGGGACGTGGCGACGAAAGACTTTCATCCCTGATCAGTGCGATAACATTTCGCTAACGTAGCCGTATTCGGCTGAAATCAACTCTGTCGCTTCGAATGTCCGACATTTATCGGGTACGTATTGATATTCGTAATCAATCCGTCAAGCGTGTAAAAAAAACTCTTTATATTCAATAAACTGTGAAACGTTTAAACTCTACAGAGGACTCCGTAGGCGCGCGCGTGTATGCGCATGTGTGAAACTAACGTACTGTAAGTAATTAGAAGTAAAAAATTAACTATACTCTCGTGTGTGAGTGCTGTGTACATGCTGGATTTAGTGTGTGTGTGTGTGTGTGTGTTAATAGTTACTTCGATTGCGGCCAAACATAACGTAATAGGGACAATTGTACACGATTGTACTTTGCGAAGAGTCGCGATTACGCGACTCATAACCGCGCGTTATGAGAGACGCGAGTACTTTTATCTGTTTAAAATACATTTTTCTTGTATACCTTTCCTCCTTATCTTCTTTGCACAGTTTCGTTACTTTTTGTTGTTTGAAACAACAAGCAGCACAACCAACGTAGACAAAGGGGTCCGTACGAAACACACACGCGCATTTAGTACTATTCCATTCGTTTCGCTATACAGAGCGCATGGAAAAGTTGCAAACTGAAATATACAAGTGCTATAATTGGTTTATTCGCGCGTAAATACACGCTGACTTTCACGATTTCACTATTTTTATCGTTCCTTCACCGGATACATCTGCTATCTGGAATACGGCGACCCCCAGCGACGAAAGTGAGACGACAACGTATTCCGCACTAGGCTAACGTATTGCGCAAATAAGCGAGCGACCCTTCTTCTCGCGATTGGCCAAAGAACGAAGAAAGAAGGAATGTTGGCTGCGGAATACGTACGATAGGCGCGTGCAATTCTCTCTCTTTCTCTATCCATATCTCTATCTATCTATTCATCTATCTCCCCCTTTTCCGAAACTCGTTCGAACAAGGAACGTTTTACGAGGCGCGAGAGACATCTCACAAAGCAACTCCAAGTTTTCTCATGTAGATTGCGCGCCGCTATTCTTAGCGAGGAGCGCTCGTCGGCTTCTCCAACAGGCGCGAATACGGCTCGCGATATAAGCCAGTAGCGCTTCTCGCTCTCCACCTCGCGTTAATCTCCATAGATTATGCGAGAGACTCGGAGGAGAAATATTGGAGCGGATTTATAAAGTGCATTCGGTTACGTAAATACATCTCGTGGAACCTCTTTCTATCGTCGTCCCGATGATAAAGCACGCGTCATTCGGACGAGAAGAGACGACGACGTGCACACACGTGAGGTTAATCAGGGTAACGCAGCGATATCGGGCGGAATATTTTTCAACGATAAAAATAACCCCACCAATAACACAACTGTAAAATCGTTAAAAGTCCCAGCTATTTGTTTAGATAGTCATGTAAATGTCATTTAAATGTCGCGACGAGAAGAGGAAGAAGAAACGACAGAAATCCGCAGGTACGCGGGGTTCCTTCGACGGAAACGTCGTGCGCGAGGATTACGGTAAATCCCAAAGCGTATTTCGCGCGATTGTACATTTCATGTATGCTCGGTCATGTCGATCACTTCGCACACGAGTAATTGCGCGATATTAGCGACGAATCTGGGGGGGGGGGGGGGGGAGGCCATTGCAACGTCATACGTAATATATAAACAGATCGCACCCCGCTCGTACGTCCGTTTCTAATATATTCTCGCAAAAATCTCCGATAAGGTAGACAGAGAGCGCGAATAGTTAATTGAGATATCGCCGATAACATCGAGGAGTACGAAGCCGTAATTGCAGAGTGCATCGGTCGTCGTCTCTCGCGATATATCTACATCTCCCCCCCGGCAGCGCACGTCAAAACATTACACGGCCGATTGTCGGCGCTCTCATCGGTATGGTAGTCTCGCGCGCGCGTGCGCCTCGATTATCGACTCGATCGATGACTCTCCGATCGAGGAACACGATGAGAAGGAAAAGACTTATTTGGAAGGTTCAGCCGCATGAAAAGCGACGAGCGAAAGTGCATTCTCGCTCCCCTCGTAGCAGCCGAGCGAGATCGTCTCACCGTCGCTAAGTCTGCGCTCTCTCGTCTCCGAAAATTCGCGCGTTCCCCCCTCCCATTTGTCGGCCCCCCCCCCGCTCGCTACCGCTCACCGGTATCCTCTCGCGCTGTTGCGCAGTATTCGAGGTCACCTCAAGTTCATCATCGATAATAGCGCGGGCGAAAACAAGCAGCTAGACCTGGACGTCCCCGATAAGTACGTACTACAGATAAAAAATTCCGCCGGATTTGGTTCGGAACGAACTTTCGTTTGGCCTTGGCGGACGCCCGCGCGCGCTGCGCCGCGCACGTCCATCCGAGAATGCGTACCGTTAATACCGGCAGGGGTTCCCCGATCGCGGGGAATCGCCGGGGCGACGCTAACCCCGATTTCTAATCACCCCGTTTCATCTTATCGACGAGTCTGACGAAACCGAGAAGAACACACGATTTTTCGCAATCTCGATGATACGTAATATCTTCGCTACCTGGATTTCCCGTGCAGCCACTTAAGCGCGTCACCGAATACGGGCAACGTATTGGCGGCCGAAACATTTGAATAGAACACGTTCGGGAGGATCGACAGGGAGATCGATAGCTCAATCGTTCGGTGAAATAATCATGAGCGCTGTCGTCGAATTTGCCGATTGAACCTTTCGTAAATCCCGTGTGTGTGTTTCTTGGCGCGCGACAAGTCAATTTCAAGTATGATACTCGCTCGTCGCGCGTGACAACAACGCTCATTATGCATTATGATTTCGAGCGATAAAAGTAGCTTACGAAGCGCATTCGCGCGGAATGTTCGATCTCAACGAGTGGATGATCGTGCATCGAGGGTGTGCGAGCCGCTCACATCCGCTCATCCGTCACGTTCCGCAAAAATTCCCGATCGTGCTTTCTTTCCTTCCTTCGCAACGCAGCGAACACACCGTGTCGAAGTGGAGTCGCGAATTCGCAGCAAACCAGAGGGGGGAGGGGGGAGGGGAGTGAGAGCCACTGAGTCAACACGCGATCGTGCAACTACCGAGAGACAGACCGACGAAGCGACGGAGTTTGATGGGGTGGTGGTGGTGTAAAAGGGGATAGATAGTAAGGAGGAAGGCGAAGCGTGTGGAGAAAGAGAGAGAGAGAGAGAGAGAGAAGCGCTCCCGGTATCGAGTAAACGGACCTACGCGAGTTATAAACTCTCGCGTCATCTCGGCGGAGGCTGGCAAAATTTCGCATCCGTCCCACTTTTTCGCACTGTCGATAGATGGCGGCATGTCCAGATTCTCGCGTTTCTTTCGGCGACTCTCGGACATTACGCAACCGAGATTCCACGGCGGGATCGGTAGCGACTATAAAAACCGGGCGGGATTCGTTTCGCGCGAGCGATCGTAAAAGAAAGGAAGAAAAAANGGGGGGGGGGGGAGAGGGAAAAAAAGATGGAGGGACAGCGAGTAGGCGGTGCGTCGCGCTTTTAGAAGACGAAGACAGCCGCGCACGACCGTCGTATATCCGATCGTCGTTTAGCAAAATATGAATGAAATATTAACGCTTTTAGCAAACTTGCTGTACTGATGTTAAGTCGCTAAACTAAGGCTGCGTTCGTGCATTCACTCGCCGTGTACTGAAAATCTGTAATATACGTAAGATGAGCTGCAGGATTTTTCAGTACCGGCGGTGAATACAACGAACGCACCTTAAATGCGAATTATACGAATAAAAGAACATTCCGAGATTATCGAGAAGGTGCACGGACTGTATCTGCGAAAGGAGGTGCGCAAAAATACGACGTCCTCACCCTCTCTCCACCCTTCCACCCTCTCTCTCTCTCTCTCTATGCGGCGCAAGAAAGCGATAGAACAAATATTTGGTTAGTACCGATGCATCGAGACATTGCCACGCCTTATATACAAGCGCAGAAAGGAAGATAAACCGCACTCAAATTCAACCTCGCAATCGATATTTGTGCGGCGCGCTAAATTTCGCGACACATTATCACCTATCCCCGTCCGTACTTGAAAAAAAAAAAAAAAATATATATATATATACATATATACATATAAGTTGCGAGACTCCGCCGGAAAAAGAAGAAAAGTAATCGGTCGCGATGCGTGCCACTTTTTAATTAAATCAATTGAGAAACAAATGGAACGTTCGCGAGAGAGAACGCGCAACGACCTCCCGAGTGGAGATCGCGGACGAAAGAGTCAAAACCCAGAGTCCCCCTCGTTCCGGACTTTTCATAGTTGGGCTTTTTCGTCGCATTCCCTGAACGGCCGATGCTATTTTGGAAGATAATATCTTTGACTTTTTGTTCCTAAACACACCGGAATTTGCGCTACCCAACTCGTATTTTCGCGCGCGTAAGCTCCGCCGCAAATTAGCCTGTCGAAACGTCGTCTTTCGCGAAACGGAGGAAGACTTGGATACGCGTGTGACCCCCGTACGAGCGCGCATGGCGCTAACAAGTGGAGGGTAAAATTCCAATTTTATTAGTTATTCCGCGTTTGTTTCGCAGCTCCCGTACATTTCGGATAACGTTCATCTCTCGCTTAGATCAAACAGATAAACGATGCAGCGAAAAATATTCAAATAATAGAACGGTATAAAAAAAAATTNAAAAAAAAAATAAAAAAAAAAAAAAAAAGAGAGAAAAAAGGGGGGGGGGGGGGGGGGGGGGAGTCGTCGTTATTCTCCGCGAAATTAATCTGCTGCGGAATGATCGCTACTAGCGGCGAAACGAGACAAAGAAACATTCGGTTGAACGCGGAATCGGTTTTACGAATTACGTAGGATTAAGTTGGAAATAATTATGCGATGAGAAGACGCGATTCATTCCCGTTGCATTCGTTAGGAGCAATTTTGATTCTCGAAAATAACGCGGATCCGAAGGCGCGATGCCAAGACGAATAATCCTAACGGCGGAGATTCTAGAGACGGGGGAGGGGGGGGGGGGGACGTAAGAGGAAAAGACCGCGTCCGCTGCAAATATCGCGTTTAACTTTTCAAACGGTTTGAAACACCGCCAAGACCGTGTCGTTGCAACATGCCCCGCTGTTGAGCGTCTACCACGCGTTCAGCGTTCTCACTCGACGGCGGATACAATGGGATAACGGTGGCAGGATAGAAAAAGGAAGAAAGAAAAATCTCGTACGCGCGTCTCATTAGCATCTGCATAGATATTGCTGGCGTTAACCCGCGTGTACGCGTATCGTTAGCCGCGTTTGCGTTGCGTTAAACGCCTTTAGACTCTCTTTATCGTATAATATTCGTGGGGCGCGCGACGCAAGACGTCATCCAAGATATCGATTTGCTGCAAATCCGTTTTCTCTGGACACGGGAGCAAACATTCCCGCATTGTCGCATAAATCGGCCGATAGTGAGCGCGAGCACCGATCGAGCGAGATGTCGCGGTACGGTTCTCGTTTTATTCTGTTCTAATTCCCTCTTTCTTTTTCGCAACTAACGGAGAGCCTGGAAGGAAAAGGATTATATCACTCTGGCCGAGGCGAAAGAAAGAGATCGTCGTCGATGACGACAACGACGACGTTGCGCGAGAACCGGACGAGATATAACTTAATGTATCTAATGATTCGCGCGCGGCGGAGAGTGAGTGGCAGGAACGTGAGTGGCGTACCAAGGTCGTTGTATTTTTAGTTAGGCCAATGTTTAGTTGGCCACGTTCGTTGGTTGGAGATAGAGAGACCTTGAATTTCGCGGATAACATCTGCAGCCTTATCGACGCGATCCCCTCTCCCTCCCGCCGCGTCTCGCGCCACCCCTCCTTCCCTTGTCTCTCTCTCTCTCTCTCTCTCTCCCCGTTGTGTCGCGATAAACTTTTTCAGTACTAACCTAGTATAAGCCAGCCGTTCAAATATTAATCGACAATGCGGGACCGCACCTGAATTTGCACAACGACCGAACGGCCGCGACTGGCTGCGACACATTCGTCAAAACCTTTCTTTCTCAAGGATACTAGAAGAAAAGTATATACGTGGGTAATTGAAAAATTCGTCAACGCCTCGGCTCGTTCTCGCCGCCAGCTGGGACCGCCGTCGAAAACGCACACACGAGATCGGAGATGGTTTTTTTTTTTTTTTCGAGAGCGGTTGCTTACCGCACACGCGCGCGCACATGCATATGCATGCCCAACGACCGCCGAAATCCACTTGTGGAAGGTCACGCACATCCGAGTCGCTATTTTTTGCGCTCCCGTAATTATTCGCAATTATCTCTCGCGACAGGACGACTTTTCGTATCGCCTTCGAGCAATGTAATCGCGCAATTACGTCGGCGCAAGCAGCCAAATTTCTCGGCTTCGTATCTCAAACGCCGCGAGAATATCTCTCGATAGTATTCATCGCATGAGTACCGTCGCTTTCCGCACCTCTATGCCACCGTACTTTCTCTTACGAATGTAATTGTTGCAAAAGTCTTGATGCTTGGATCTCTCTCTCTCTCTCTCTCTCTCTCCACCGTTCGTTGAGTCAGCTGCTACAAGGTGATTCGGATGTTGCAGCGCGTACACGCGTTGTGCGGATATACAAAAGAAAATGAAAAATATAGCCGACTTCCTATCACATCCTCGTTTCACAATGAAACGTATTCGCAATTGTATATGCATATGCATGTATAAATAAATAAACGCGCGCGCGCACACACACACACATACACATACGCGCACGCACGCACGCACACATGTGTTCGCATAAAAAAGCCGTGATTCCGCAAGCAAGTTGCGAGATGTGAATTCGGCTGCGATCGCGTTTAGCGCGATCCTACCTGCACTTTCGTACCATCCGTCTTCGCGCGATCTAACGACGGTCTCGCGCCACGGACATATCGATTCTATTATTGCAAAACGTTAGCAATGCAGACACAACAACACACCGATACGCAACCCAACGTTCAATCGAGCGATACAAGCCGCGGCAACGATCGATTGTCGAAGTCACACTTATATATCAACGACATTGAAAGCGTCGGCGTCGATCGTTAAACCCGATCGAGAGAAAGTGGTAAATGCCGGTGAATACGCATGTAGATGTAACATCAACGGCTGGTCGCCGTGTGCGCGCGTCGTTAGCCCCCTTCCGGGCAGCCCTTCTCGCACCCTCCTCGGCGACGCCGTGCGAGAAAAGACACGCTAACGGGCTGACGATACCGCGAATATTGCACAGTGATGCCAAACTGGTATGCCCGATCCATTTTCTTCGCGCTAATCGCGATGGCTCGTCGTCTAGTCGACGTTAGAAGCGGTGTGGTTCGAGCGAATGTATCTGCTGCGGCCAATGTGCACTTTTCGCGCGAGTAGTCGGTCGAATTGTCGTTCGTTGAAGAGGCGTCCGCCTTGCGCTCTGTCGACGTAACTGCGCTTCGATCGACACTTACGACGAGTAAACCGTGGATATACAGGGTGTCTCTCGGATCGAAATTGTTTATTCAAAGTCAATCGGCTGATCGGCGAAAGAGAGGGAGAGAGAGAATACTCTTGGATCGATGTGCCAGATTACGTTGCTTCGCAAGAGAAAGAGAAGAAAATGAAAATCTTGCGTCCCTCGCGAAGTGTTACTTAAGAAGGGACGGCAACTTGTCGCAATGTGCGCGGAATTTCCTTACCCGGGCAAGTTTCCCGCGCGCAAAAACCCCAATTTCACGACCGCTACTGAAAATCCGCTAGTCGTGCGTGGTCTACAGAGCAAAAATCCCGATCGATTTAAGCCCCCCAGTTCGGCGATAACCAACAACAACCAGTGCAATCGTTCCGTTTCCGAAGACACCCTTTCGCCGAGACACCCTGTATTCGTCTCCCAAATCGGGGAATCGCGAAAAGTTGCGACAAGCTAGTGAATAGTTCGCGTAGTCAAAAGTGTCTCGAACTGATCGTTTAACAACGATAAACAACAAGCGTAATAATAACAATAACAATACGCACGAGCGCGCGATAACGATGATAATACGCGTGATAATATACAACGTAAGGAAAAACGTACTCGAGCAGAGTAACGGCGAGTGAGACGGGACGGAGGAATCTCTCGTTTTGTTCGATCGGCCGGAACGCGCGCGCGGGAGCGGAATTTCCGCAAGGACGCGACGCCTCGACGCGCATCCGAGCTCGCAAGGGTGAGTTTCCGCGTTCCAAGTAGCGGAATCGCGTGTGTTCCATGATTTTTGTGAAATGCAAAATGTAGGCGAATCGCAAATGATACCATACATGGTAATGATGATATATATCAATGATTTTGAAACGCATGCCAATTAAAAAAAGAGATTGTAATAATCTTTGAAAGCAGATAGTAGTGCTCTTTCACCGCAACCAAGTAAACATTTCGTTTGTTTGTTTTTTTTCATTCTCGTCGAGTGTGATTTGTGGTTAGTTTGATATAACTGCACAAGTCCTTAGTTACTTTATTAGAACGAACCGCTACATCGCGTACGATGCAAGTATCTGCCGCGATGTATCGACTGTCAGCGGAGGAATAATAAAGTAGCGCAGAGTGCCCTTGAAAAAATCAAAAGAACGCACATCGACGGCGGTTTCTACGACAAGTTATCGCGCGATAACAAAGTGCCACATGTACATATAGCGGGAGCGTGATATCGATCGTCTCTGTCTCAAGCAATTCTAATGATTTCAAAAGGGCAGAGAGCTGAAAGTGAGCTGAGAAGTCTCTTACCTTGCGAAGTTCCCGCCAGGTCCGGTGTCTGCAAGCCGGTGTGGCCCAACCCTGGAAATTTCACTATCGTCATACGTAGCAACGGCAGTGTCGGCGCGAGCGCGGAAACTCAACAACGGCCTGTACGCAATTACGAGAGGAGAGACGAGGGGGGTTGGGGAAGAAAATCGGCCCGGTGCGTACAGGTCCGCCGCGAAGGGCCGGCCTCTGCACGACGTACCTGGCAACGGCGTGTGATCGGTGGTGAGCGCCGCCATGCTGAAGTTGAAGCTGCCGGGCGTGGAGGTGAAGAGCTTGCTCTCGGGCAGGAAGTTCTGCGCGGACGCGTGCTCCGGCTCCGGCTCGTGCTCGTTGCTGCTCGCCGAGGCGGGCGGTCGGTCCGACGCCGCGGCGCCGGAGTCCGACGAGTCCTCGTTGTTGCCGGCGTTGCCGGCGTTGCCGCCGGTCAGCTCCAACGGCTCGCACTTTATATTGTCCTCGACGAGGCTGTTCTCGTCGTGCACGCCGTTGCCCTCGACCTTGGTCGACAGATGATTGTTCTTCACCATCGAGAAGTCCGTGGGCGTGGCGTCGTTGTTGTTGAGCGGCGGCGACGGCACCCTCGGTCTCTTCGCCGACTCGTCGTGCGGGTCCGGGGTGCGTCTCTCGTTCCGGCGTATTTGCGCCCGGCGCAGCAGTTGCTGCACCGTCGTCGGCGTGGGGGTCACCGGTGTAGGTGGCGAGCCGCCGCCGCGAGGGAAGGTCTCCTCCGACTTTTCGTGGAACGGCAAGTGATTGCCGCCGGCCGCCAGCGCGCGGACATGCGACAGCTGGAAAAACCAGACGAAACGGCTGCTGTTAGTCACAGGCGCAAGTCATCCGTCTTATTTTATCTTTGTTTACTTGACCTATGACAATTGCGGATTGGAATCAAGATAGAAGCGCGCGAACTCTCTCGGCGGAGTGAGAAGATACTGAGATCGGAGATAACGGAGTCAACGTGTGTATGGATAACATACCTCGTCTCTGTCGGTCTGGTCGGCCTGTTGCGTGAGACCCGACACCCTCAGGACCTCTGCGGTTTTCAGAAAACTACTGAGAGAACGCTGGTGCACGTTCACCTCGCCGTGATAAATAAACTCCACCAAGGCGTGTAAGTCGCTGAACGCTACATCCTGCAGCACTATCACTGGATGCTTGCACGGCGTGCTCTGAAACAGTGCAACCGTGTCGGGCGCAATCGTCAGCGATGCTCCGATTCGGCAGATATCTCGCGCGAACTCTTCGAAATCGCGGAAACTACTCCGAGCTCGACTGTACCGCGAATCTTTCCCCGCGGAGGAGGTAACTCGAGAGAACCTTACCTTGAGCAATTCTCGAAAGTACGGGCTACAGGCGGAGAGAACGACGCGATGCGCTTTCAGGCTTTTGCCGTCGCAGGCCAGCGTCACGTCCACGAAGTCCTCATCGTCCCGCAAATTTTCAAATGCCGAGGTTATGCTGCTCTGGTAATTGTTCCATCGCAGACAAAAGTGTTGTGTATCTACCATCGTTGTGTCTATTCACCTGCAATCAGAAGTAACGCCCGCTGCCATCGATTAGACGCGAGGGCTGCTTCTTAACGGTCTAAAACGGCCTACCTAGGTGTACGCGAGGAAATCTCTCTCAGCTGACGTAAGCGAGACGCGAGCGTAAAATAAAAACGAATTTCGCTCGGGATCCGCCTAGTGCACCCGGCGCAACCACGACCTGATAATCTTGCAGACTGATAATTTTAGATAAGTCCTATTTCGACATTCGAAAACACAATTGCAACATGTCCGATCGATATATTTTAATGAAGTGCAATTATTTCGGCAAATTCGTCGTCGGACGAGGAGCAAACTGCTCGGGACAGGAGGTGCGTTGAGTCGAAAGGGAAACACACACACGCACGAAACGATATGAAAGTTACAAGTGCATTATATAATATGAGTCTATATATAATTAGAGCCCGTGCGACATATCTTTTTCTCTCAATGACAAGGGACAAATGCCTTTTTTTTTTACACACCAACAATTTAAATTTTCTCCGCGTAATTGGCAAGTAGCCGCTGTTAACCGATCGATCGCGCGCGCGACTGACCTCTAATTCGTTGGAATTAAAGTTACAAGTTTATCACGTAACAGTGAGACGTGTCGAATTTTTCTTACGAAAGAGAGACACGATTGAAATTGTGTACAGATAAAAAGCTAATTATACAGAAAACATTAAATGCGACGAAAAATGTATGACGCAAAGATAAGAATGGAGATGTTTTCGTATTCCTTTGTATCCGAGATGATGCACAATATTTAAACAAGTGCGTTCATGCGTCTCCTAAAGCGTCGACGAGCTAAAAGCAAAGTTGTGAGAGTTATCCGTTAGATAGCGAGATGAATTCAAAATAGTGGCGGGTCTCGTGCAAAAAAAGAGTGAAAAAAATTCGCGTAGATAAACTTGCCGCAACGCGCGCGCGAAAGTGAGAGAGAGGGGAGACCTTTCTCGCTTATTTGTCTAATTGCGCACAAGGCAAGCGCTACACATGTCGATTGCGGGAATAAAATTTTAAAAGGGGGAAAAAAGACAACTCTCTGTCGTTGACTGTTTCGCCACACAGGAAAATTAGGTCGTCCAGACGGAGCCAATAGAGCGCGTCGATGAAATAATTCTCCGCTACTTATAAAAGCCGGAGCACTAAATATGCGCTGATAGTGTTATCTTAACGAAATGATAAAAAAAGATCTTGAAACAAATTTACGGAGCTTGTTCCTTACACAAATCTGACAGCGCGCTAGAACAAAATCGTCAAGCCGAACTAATTTCACGAAAGCGCGCGGCGAGGCGTGCGTTTGCGAAATTTTGCTCAATTAACGAAGCGAAAAAGGCCAATGTCGCGCCGTTGCGTCAAGTTACTCGAACGAACGTGTACGTGACGGGTCGATTCGCAAATTCATTCACATCGAAATACCTGTTATAACCGTGGCGATAACTCAAGCTCCGCCGATTTCGACTTGTTCCTGCTGTGCCGCATGTTGGCCGTGCCGGCCAGCAGTATCGGCAACGGCGAAGCAAAACAAAAAGAAAAAAAAGAACAAACAGGAAAGAATGGACAGAGGGAACGTGCTTGTGTGTGTGCGCCTCCTCTTCTCGACTTTCTAACCACGCCAATACAGAAATCATTCTCCGAGCTGCTAAAGCCGCTATCGCATCCTGCTAAATTTACGTGTGACGAATCCGAGAGATAAGTGTTGCCACTGAACATTGTTTGATAACAGACAAGAAGGGATCGCTCGAATGGGACGCGAAAAAGGAAAAAAATTACAACTTTTGAGCTGTCGCCACTCTCGCGCGCTTTATTGCCGGTGGTAACGCGCGCGAGCCGTTAATATTTGCGTAACTTCACACAGAACGGCCCGATCGAAACCCGAAAGCGAATAATCGCGCGCGACTGAGATTACACGGGCGAACAATTCGGCGGTGAATTTTTCGGGGGAGGGTCGCACATTACATCATGCAGAACACTCTGGAAAGCACCGACGTCCCAACACACACACACACACGTGTCGCACCAACACACTCGCGAATTCACGCGCGATCTGGATCGATCGATCGATCGATCCGGGTGCTGTTCTCGATACGGTACCTTCTCGCATGAGATCCACAGCTCGGTTTCTAAGGCACACTCGGCCGGCAACGCGAACGGGAATCACAGCTTGCCAAGTGCGGACGCGCTATCGCGAGGGAACACCTATCGGCCGTCATGCCGCGTAAGCTAATGACCGAAACAATGAACCGAACACGACGGCGAGACGACGCTGCGTGCGTTTATCTCCGCGCGGCACGCCACAGCGCGAAAAAAAGGCCGAGCACGCCGCGGCGAAGAGGCCACCCACATTCGGACAGCGCGCGCGCGCGCAACAGAGAAAGGGATATCTACGCGATCAAACCGATGACCCTGCGTGACACCTGTCAAGCCCGGTGCGCGCGAGATCGGAAGAAGCGCGGAACTATTCGGTCCTCGAGCGCTTGCGAACGGGAATGCGAGGATATCGGTAAATACACTTCAAATAAATACTAAACGATTTTGTCGTGTTCCTTCCTTCCTGCGCGTGGATCATCCTCCTACCCCTCCGCTCCCCCCCATCGCGCGCACCAACCACCACCACCACTTCCTCCACGCCGTCGCCGTCGCCCGAACTGTCGGCCACACCGAAAGTGATCGCGATCAAACGAGGATGACGAGCGTGGGCAAAGGACAGAGGAAGATGAATCGAGACGGGATGAGAGAGAGAAACGGAATCGAGCGCGTTGCGCGCGAGATCCACGGCTAGTCCGGACGTCCGGATTGTGCAACAAGGAGGATGACGGACGGCCGGCGTCAATTTTGACGAGTCACGTGTCACTGTGTAGACAAAAATTCGCGTGACCAGGCTAAAATAAGCGGTTGCTTCTAAAAGAGGCACCGGCGGTGCTGACGGTAAATACGGTGGTGGACGACGGCGACGGCGACGGTGGTGGAGACGAGGACATGAACGTCGACGATGAGTGCGGAATCTTCTGCACCTTGACTGGGGGCGCCGCGAGCAGTCACCGCAGCAGACTCCTTCCCTGTCGCATGCCGTGTGCGAGCGAAGCAACCAACCCCTAAAACGTCACGTCACGACTGTGTGGCTCCGTCGCGGAGGAGGTGCCGCGCCTCCCCGTCCGTCGCGCGGTCGGTACGTCGCGAGGCCGCACGAAAACGTACGAAAAGCGATCGGCGCGCGAGCGAGAGAAAACGGAAATGGAGTAAGAAAGAACGAGGGGTGCAAGGGATATGACGAGAAGGATAAACGAGAGAGAGAGACGGATGACGGGCGTATCAACGATAAGCGTACCGAAAGAAAGATGGACGAAAGATTTGACAGAAGAAGAAAGAGGAAGGGCTTTTTATTATGGCTCTCGTGATACGCGTCTAATCGATAATGTACGACCAGAAGACGAGCGGCTTGTGAGGAAGAACGGAAAAAAAAAAGAATAGCGCAGGGGGTGTCCGATGACAGATTCTGCGAGCGGCGGCGTCGCGCGCGTGCGATAAGGCACATACGTGTGTGCGTGTGTGCTAAACGATACGCAAAATAAAATAGATAGGTAGATGAATAGATGGGAGGAGAGAGAGAGAGAGAAGGTTTGCATGCGCGTGTGAAATAAAGCGACAAATGCATAATCCCGTTTTTTCGCCTGACGAATCGGGCGAAAATCTGGCGACTAGGACGCACGGTAAAATCGAATAAAATAAACGACTGCACGGGATATCAACATTTAACACCGGTGTAATGTTTTTTTTTTCGTCCGTTTACAACGTTTAGAATATAAATCTGTAAGAATTGCACCGCTTTCATGAACACCGTGCAAGGATGAAACGTTAACTCCCAGAAACAAGGTTATTATCCGATCAACTCCCTCGTTACGAAAGTAGCGGTAAAGTAGAGAAATACTACAAATAAGAGAACGAAACGAACGATCAGAGAGATCGAGCCCCCCGTTTGCATCGTCTGCTGATCGAGAGACGCGATGCTCGCTACCGGAACTTGACTCGGGGCTTGAAACTGACGTAGTTATTTCGACGTATACCATTTTCCTCTCTCTCTCTCACACCTTGAAACAGAAGGGGGAAAATCATATATCGTGCGATTACCCGAGGCGATATTACACAGCCGGGTGTAAGATGCGTCTTGCTGTATCTCCGAATGATAATCGAGGAAAGGTACGACGAAGAGACGATACGGGCGATCACTTCCAATTTCCGCGCTATAGATTCGCCGGTGCAACTTGAAATGACTATCCAGGCCGGATCTAAAGCGACGCAACGAACGCAGTGGTGGGTTAATTACCTTGTGGCCGTCTGTCAGAGAGTCGCTCTCACGTGCGTGTCGTCTTCTTGGTGCGGCTCGGCTGATTTCAAACTACCATTCTTCAATATCGCTCATCCGCGGTCTTATTGTTTTCTCGCTCCTCCTCTTCACACCGGCTGTCACTGTGCGGCGCGCGTCTCGTAGTCAAATATCATCGTTCACCGACGACGCACCGTATCAATCGACTGAATCCCGGCGGTGCTCTCGTTATCGCCGTTACGCCTGAAAACCATTCGTTTCTTTCGTGCTCTGTGTGCTCTACGAGGATCTTACATATGTGTGTGTGTGTGCGTGTGAATAAAAAAAATAGAAGAGAGAGAGGAGAGCGATTCCCTTGCGCGTCTGATCCACCCCCTCATTACGCCGTGGTGGTTGTGCACACGTGCGTACGCATGCATGCACCCTCTCTCTCTCTCTCGCTCGCTCGCGCGCACGATGCACATTCAGCGTGCGCGCAAACACACCGGCATGTACGCTTGCACACGCGATGGGGACCGATCTCTCGTGCAGCACACACGCGGCGCGTCATACGCGAACGTGCAGGTACACAGGTTGCTCACATACGCCGCCGCAATTTGCACTGTGCCGATTGTCGGGAAGAACAGGGTTCCCTGTCGATTGTCTAGACTTTATCGAAAGGAAGAAAAAACAAGGCCGACACTCGCGAAAAGATGAATGTGGCGCGCACAAACGACTGCGAGGGATCGCGTCTCGCAATTTCGTCACACTTTTTCCTTCTAACCGGCCGGTCTCCCACGCGAAATACGAATTTAACGGCGTGCGATCGACGCCCGGACAGCGGGATGAACGTACCTACCCACGTGTGCCAGTATCACGTTTTGCGAACGATCCACAGGGAGAGCGTACGGGTCCGTTTTAGTTATTCGTCGCTCGGTCTCCGCATCGGCAAGTTCGAGGACGCGATGGACATAATCACTGTCGCGGCATCACGCGGCGAGCAGCTGCCGATTTGTAACAACGATAGGCTTAAGGGGTTGAAAGTGAGACGAAAGAAGATGACGAGAAGAGGATGGAGATGGTGGGAAGGGAGAAGAGAGAGAGAGAGAGAGAGGGGAGAGAGAAAGAAAGAGAGAGGGGGAGCGAGGAGAAGTCGGAGGAAAAAAAAAGAGACGCGCGTAACGTAAACCGGCGCGTTGCAGAGACACCACGAGCCGCTACGAAGCACCAAGTACGGGCTGCTGTTCCCGAGCCTGGTTAGGACTAGCATGCGGGGGGAAGGCTCTCGCTCGCTCGCCGTTATTCTTTATCGGAGCATGAGACATCTGTCGTAATAAGTGCGGACTAAAAAATAGTGCGTACGCAGAGAGAGAGAAAGAGAGCGCGTGAGAGCGAAAGCGCGCGAGCGAGCGAGAAAGAGAGAGAGCCGGACGCCATGGTGGGAGAGGTTGATGCTTGCGGCCGCGGCGGCTGTTTCTCTCCCCGTGTACCCGCAATCTTGGTCTCTTCCCTCTCGCCACACTCTCCTCCGACGCTCCGGCGCTCTACCCCGCCGTAATCAGTTCATGAGACGAAAATGCGCGTAACCGCTGCGAGTCGGCTGCCAGTCGTAAAAATGTCGACGCGCCTGATCTCGCGAGATCCTCGTTACCGGAAATTCGTTCGCGCGCGCGACTTTTTCTTCTTTTTTTTTTTTCAAATGCTCCAGAGGGTCGCATGACGGATTTCGTCGTGTCTCGGTCGGAAAAATCGCCGACAACTTGTAGTTGAAGCGTTCCTCAGAGTCGCCGATGCTACACGAGGAGAGAGAGAGAGAGAGAGAGAGACGGAGCTGTGCTGTCGGCTCCCTTTGCACGTGTGTGATTTTGGAAGCGAATATAAAACGGTCAGGATAGATTCAGTCGGGTTCTGCATGGAAATGTAAAATGGTCACTCCGTGTTTCAACCGAGAGAGATCGATAAACGAGATCCGCTCCGCCGTTTCCCCGATAATTATGTACCCCTCATTCGTTAACATTAACGAAGCAAAAACGCACGCGCTCGCTCGCTCCCTCGCGCGTATCCTTGCCGCGGCACGCGCGCCATCCTGCTTCTGCTAAACTCGGCAGTAGCACCCAGAGCTATTACCCCCTCTCTCTCCCTGCCGCGAACCGCGCACCACCGTAGGCGACCCCACTCGATTCGCCCCTCAAAAAATCATTACGCCCTTCCACGGGCTGCGCATGAACGCGGTTTTAATTCGCTACTAGAAAAGTAAAATGTAAACGGTGGTGGGCTCGAGGGCCGCGAGAAGGGGCGAGTGGTGGCGGACTCGGGGAGGATGAGAAAAAGGCAGATAGAGAACGACAGAGAGAACGCGCGGGCGGTAGGGGTTGACGACGGGAGGGGGCGGGGGTGGCCGGACGAAGGGTGGGAGGCCAAGTTTCGCGGATGTAGTCGAGGCGAGCGCGAGTGTGCGAGGAATGAGGCGACTCTGTGCGAGAGCGCGACGTAGGACAGATCCTTTTTCCTCCGACTAGCGACTAGCAGGAGGAGGAATATGACGGCGCGAGGACGGGGCGCGGTACAGCAGGA